CCAAGAAGAGAGCTGTGCATAAGAGGCTGCCTCAGTCTCAGGATTAGATTAGATCTACCAACGAACCTGATACCTAGTTTTAGTAGAATCGACTTTTGTGATGTGGGCTAATGTCTTGCCTTGTCAAGTCGAATGAAACCAGTCAGTCTAGAACACCACCGTTGGTTTCCTTGGTCGTATCAGCAAGATGAACGGCCTGTTCCATGTGAGTGAACAACAAGTTCGCGTCAACTCAATCCGCCATAGAAATGGGCGAGTATGTACACTTTTCAGGGCCCAGTCTAACGAGCAACAGGTAAGCAAGAGGTTTAAAGCGAGACTGGGAAGAACTTCAAACATCCTGGCTTGAGTATGGATCTTCAGAGTACGACCAAAAATAGCTACGCAAAGGAAAGATCCTGCGCAGAAGTCAGTCACATCCACAATAAGCTTGAGGGTGTTTGACTGCCCTAAACAGGATGAAAGGACAAGACGCAGCCAGATTGATTTGACAAACAGCCTTGCTTGAGCTTCAGCACGAGGCTGGCCCATGACTCCTGTCCCTTCGTTTAGTTCCAACGGCTGGTACATGTGGAACGTTGAACAGGTGGAAATGTTCAATTTGAAATGCAGGCGGCGGGTGGCCACTTAAAGAGGACATGAAAGATGCTTGGAACGAGAGTACTTCCGAACCTGCCAAGAACTGGAAGCGTCGGAGCGTCCAAAAACATGGTTAATGTTTTGAGTGGCAGACCAGTTGCTGCTGGTTGCGAAGTAGACACGTGTTTGATCCAGCCTCATCACCATGTGCAAATGGCTTCCTGGCGAAGGCAAGGCTATTTGTTGCAGCAAGAAGCAATTAAGAACTAACGACAGTTGGGAAGTGACAAGTGTCGACACTACTTTTGTGGTTTGAAAGAAGCTCTTCAAACCAATCCACCAGCAGCACCCTGATAAGCATTCGTGGTCAGTAGCACAAGATTGAAGACAGTACTTGGGCACTCACAAAACAGGCATACAATGAGGGACAAGAGCGATGGCCTCCAAAGCGATGGCCTCCAAACAAGCAGAACAAGTCTTTAATCGGATTGTTGCATTTTGTTTGTGCACAAGTCCCACAATTTGGCGTGCTGTGCCTATTTCTGGATGGGTTCTATCGTTGCGCTCCAAGTTGACGGATCAAGTGAGGGTGATGAGGCAGAGGGGTCCATGCTATTGGAAGCATTTTGAGGTAAGTGCCAAAGGCGGAACTCCGGAAGAAAACACATGGAGTGCCATGAACAAGTGCCGGGCACACCATTCGTTATGTTAAACAGAAGGGGTGTGGTGCCGCAACAAAACGTCCAAAGGGGACTGGTTGGCTTCCATTGACGTTTCTCACTCCACCAAAGGGGCAGCACTTCGTTGAAGCATGCAGCATACAATTTTGCAGAAGAACATGTTGCTGTTGATGATGGTTGAGGCCGATTCAG